CAAATAACTGTATGGTTACTTAAAAGGGTTAAGTGGAAAACAAAGAAAAAATCTCTAATACCTGCATTGAGGGAGAAAAGTATTCTTTAGCAATTGTAGTTTTTCCCTTGCAAAGTTTAATCCTCATTTTTCCAACATGAAATACATGAATAGATTCCGAAGGATGATTGACCCCATTCATCTGGGTAATAACTACCTGCAAAGCAACCAAAAAGAAAAAGAAACGTCTAAGGGGGCAATGGATGATTGTAGGTGATGAAAATAACACTAAATCTTTTATTTTTTTCAGCTACCAATAAGAACAAATGAAAACAGTGACTGCACAGTTCAGCAAATATGCTAGATAATAGAAATGCCATTTAAGACACCAAGAAAGAGAGGAAAACTGAAAAGTTGATGGAAATCATAGTGACACCGAACTTTCATCCAAATGTTTATTCTTTTTTCATTTTAATCTCCAAAAGGCATATATGGAACTTTGAGCATTTGATCTAGATGAAAAGCTCAACATGGACTGGGCAATTCACATGACCTTAACAAAGGGTCAGTCCAAACATGATTGATAGGAAAGTTTTTAAGAAACTGATACTTTCCTATAACACTGAAAAAAAGATCTACCATAATAATACTAAATAAGTAAAATCGTTCATAATATAAGCATAAAACCTGAACTCTTGTCACGAACGTTGGCTGAAGATATAATACGGTGCACAAACCAATAATTCTGAGAAAAGATTTGGATGACATAACATACATTGAACTCAATATCATGTTTCCGTACAAGTGCCTCCACATAGCTTCCCAAACCAGCAGCTGATGATAGCAAAGAAATCAGCCCCTTCCCCATTCAGTTTGTTTAGATCATAAAAGGATATACATGTTGACAGATTTGAACAAATGAAATAAACGGCTATCACAATGTCTTAGTAATTCAAAATCTCAACTTGATGAAAGACAAAAATCAGTTATGTAAACCAGACCAGGATCAATGGGACCAGCAGTTGTCAGCGTTAGCCTCTGTCCTTCATAAATAATATCAACTTGCAAGACTCGCCCAACATCAAAAGGCTCTGGGGCATAAACTGATTTTATAGCTCCTGGTGCAGGGAAAGTTGAATGAGAAATGAATAAAGATCTTGACAGCAAATTGGTTATGGGTTGGTTGTAAAAAGATCTTAACAGCAAGAAATTCATCCACATTTTAGGCCAAATTTGGTCACACGTGCTCCAAGTTACTCAATATAATTGATGCACACATAGTCCATACACGTGGAAAGGGATGTCTTGAATATATAAAAACAAGCCTGTTCAAATCATTGAAGTAGGCCCTACAAAGATGTCCTCAACTTATTTGAGGGATCCCTCATCTGAAGCTGATCATATATATACACATATACATACGAGCTCCTTCTTAGCAGGAATCCCGTTCTGCTGTAGTTCCTATATGGTAGAATACATGGTTCACACACACACACATTCATACATACAAACATACACAGATATATTTAACAAATACACAGATATATTAACAATCAGTATTAATAGATCTAATGAAATGGTGAAGTATAAAATAATTACACACAAATATTAAGGGTATCAGTTTTAAACTTCACTCAACCATCTATTCTTAAACAATAAAAGAGGGTCGTGAATCCCATTCAGCCACTCTTCATGAAAAATTAAAAGGGTCCCTGCCATCAGTCCTACAACAAGCACAGTCCCAATATTTAAAAGACCTAAAAGAAAAATAATCATGACCTTCAAAACGAACAAATATTAACAAGTGTCATTCTCCGTTTTTTTTCTTTTGCCGGAGCTTTCAATGACACTGAAACAATAGGCAGTTTAGTGCAGCATTGCATGGTAAAGAGTGTAAAAGGAATCTTCGATCCTTCAAGCTTAGAGAGACAAGCCGAGAATATTTCTTCCACTGGAACAATAATGTTGCAAATAGGCCTCAGCTCATATGCCATCCAGCAATGTTAACCATTGAAGTTTAGCTGATAAATCAAGGTTTCAACAGAGTGCCCAACACTAAACTGGGCAAAGCCTAGCCAAATTCAGTACTAGGGTGAACTTTTTAGCTAGTGATGTGCATGCTACATAAGCTTGAGTATAGTTATTGAGTGAGTACATGATTGACGCAATTGATTAGTTAGAAATCTGACAGATAATCTGAAACTAGAGGCCATCCTGATTGCCTAAGGCTAGCTCCTCTTTACTAAGAATAAAGATGTATACACAAATCAAATCAATTAGTCCAGAACCATAAAGCAACGCTAAACATATCAAAGACAATCAAGTATATGCATGTCTGCATGATAAACATGGTTACGTGCACCTGGCATTGGTTTATTAAATTTCATGTACTTATTATATAAACACAGAAGCAAGCATGCAAGAGTGCGCGCACACACACTAAAGAAAGTTCTGGAGCTACACCAAACAAAATGAAAAGAATACAAATGAACATTTTGTGACACCACCATATTTATATAACACTGAACCAATTATTATCATGCCCTTCTTCACAAAGTCAATAGTAAGCATAAAAAAGACTATATACCTGATATAGACTCCTTCTTGCCACCTTGAGATGATACGCGATACCATTGAATCAAACATTTACAGAGTTCTGGAGCATCACCAGAGCAAGGCTGAATCCGCAAATATGACCCTAAAACTTCAGGGCCATCTAATTCAAATAATTCGGAAATTTTCTCCAAGCCCCTCTTGCTCATTGCCAGCTGAAACATACATAATGAAGACGTCAGAAATAAAGTGTACAAGCTAAAAAATCAGTCAACTATCATACTATCCCCCGATCCCCAACTCTATGATACTTCATGCTATGTAAACATTCAGAACATGAACATATTCTGTGTGATTACTAAGTACTCATTCTCCAATTTACCAATTTTCTATGATTAAAGGAGATTACTTTATTTTCTTGGTGAATTAAGCAACTAATAATCGATGCAAGAACTTTACTTTATTTTCTTGGTGAATTAAGCAACTAATAATCGATGCAAGAACTTTAGCATTTCATTAAGTGTAGACACAATTTCCAAAAAGAAATCAAAGAGCACAGGCAAGCTTAGTGTTGCCAGCTAGCTTTCTGTACAATATGTATTAGGATCTTAGAAAGAAAAAAATAAACGTATTAAGACCTGTAGCTGTAGGCAACCATGGGCTACTAGAATAAGTAAAATAACTCCAGAAGCTTGGGGATGGGTCTCAGCTCACTTATCGAGTTGTTTTATGCCATCTACCAGCACTTAAAACCCATCAAACCAAAAAAGGGCCCATTTAAAGCCTGATCCAAATATGATCTGGAAAAGCATTCCTGGGACCAAAACTCTTTAACTAGAGTCCCAAATTTCTAAATTCTGCCATGACGAAGGAGTACTGATACTACTAGACTTTAGATGTCTAAATTCATAAATCCACACTGATCTAATAAAGGAGCAAGAGTTGATGTAAACCTGGTTGACCAGAAATATGCCGAACCAAGAAAATCCGTTTCCTTCTAGCTTTATTCGGCAATTAATATATGGGAAGCTTTCGATTATATAATCAAAAGAAGACGAAAATTACGAATATAATTCTTTTAATTATATAATCAAGTTCAATTGGAACATGAAGCGGACAAAATAAAAAAAGAAAATTTGCTAATAAGCAAAGTTTTCTATCCTATTTGGAGGTTCACGATCTACTTATTTTTGTTTTGCATTTAGTACTCGCTGACAGAGAAATCCTTAATTGCTTTGCTAGAGAACCAGACTATACTAAAAAAATTCACATCAAGTTTCCTCAAAAAGAAAAGAACAACTTGTGTTCTTATATCTAAAAAATTATTCTTCGGGTTTCTTCATATTTTGTTCCAAAAAAGTAATTGCTTCTTGCTGCCTAAAACCTCAAGGGATTTAGTTGCATTAAGAACTAAAATAATCAGAGACTAACATAAGATAAAACCCATATTTGATCCTCATCTCGCAAATCCAAATTGCCCAGAACCCAAAAGACTAGGCAAGCCTAAAACTGAATGTTAACATCTACTACTAAAAACTGCATGGAAGTTTGAACCACTCAGAATCAGCATATTGACATATGTTATGCAATGGAAACTCATCAAAGAACATCACAAAAGTCAAATATATCAAAAAACGCAAAGCACTTAGAATAATAAACGAACCTCTTTTTGAAGCCGAACAGAATTCTTAGACTTCTCCGTAAGTTGTGCCCTCAATGCTCGAAGCTCGTGTTCCATGTCCATTACCTACAAGTCGATGATCAATCCTTCAAGATATTCTTACACGTAAAGATTATTAACAGAGCCAGAAAAGGGTGTACAGTAATCATGTACAAGAAGTATTAAATAGTAAATTAAACGTAAAAACAAAAAATAAAGAAACAAGCGAGAGTCACTAAGTCCAAACATTATGCAGAAGTGGTTTCATTATTAAAAAGAAAAGTAGTCTCTAAAAACTTGCTCTCATGTAATCCATGAATAAAAATAAAAAATGTTCAGTAGTTTTTTTATTATTTATTTATTATAAGAAAAACTTACTAAGGGAAAACACAAGAAATACAGGAAGCATGGAAAAATGGTCCATGAAACACTTAAAGCAAACAGAAGAAACACAAGAACCCAATGAAAAAACCTAAACCAATATGCGTACAAGGAATTATCGGGAAGTTGTCAATACTCAGTTATTCAAAAACTTCAGAATAAAATCAACCGAGTGCAATCCCAATCCCAACCTATAGAGTACTACAGCTTTCCAGTGTAAAACAATTCATGAAGGGAACTATCCTTAAATAATGTGGACAGTAAAGCCCAGGCCCCAGAGTGAGAACCAAACTCTGAAACACATTAAACAGCTTAGCTTTAAAACCGAAGGAGAATGCCTGACACACAAGACCAACAATGCTCTCTGCCATAAAATCCATACAAGGAAATAATACTTCCATCTAAACCGAAGCAAACACTGTGCAAATAACTCCCTAATATCCTAGGCATAGGAGAAGACAGGGCAGTAAAAACGGAATGGACTTTGGGTAATTTCCTCAAATCTAAATTACAACAACAACAACAAAGCCTTATCCCACTAAGTGGGGTCGGCTGTATGAATCCTAGAACGCCACTGCACTCGGTTTTGTGCCATGTCTTCCGTTAGATCCAAGTAGTCCAAGTCTTTTCTTGGAGTCTCTTTCCAAGTCTTCCTAGGTCTTTCTCTACCCCTTTGGCCCTATGCCTCTATCTCCTCAAATCTACATCAATCAAAAAAATCATTTTTTTACTTTTTTTTTTTTTTTTTTTTTTTTTTTTTTTTAATTTTTTAAAATTTTTTTTATAGTTTTACGGATTGTGGGTTGTCAAAACTTAAAAGAAGCAGCAAAGATTTCCACCTCCAGAATAACAATTATACCTTTCCGCAGGTAAACTTCCTTATTTAGATTAGAAAACACCACTGAGAGACTAAGTGCCATGCTTCCACTGGGCCTTCCTTAGGAAAAATAATTACTCAAGCCTAGTAAATATCAACAGGATAACTGAGCCTCATGGCATCTATAAAACTCAGAAGCTTTTTCCTAACCTTTAAAACATTTTTTTACACTCCCCTGCATCATGTACATTTGCATTCAAAAATTGCAAAAATACCAAGTATGTACGACTTTCAATCTGTCAAAATCAGAACATAAAAAGGATCCCATAAATACAATTGACCATCCGGAACAAGTAAGAACAGTATCAACCTATATGTCCTTTAATGTACAGATAATTGACCAGAAATGGTACCGATACAATTAATCATTATATAGTTACAACTTAAAATAAATAAACAGAACTTAGAACTAAGAACCTTTAGACCAAAGAGAAAGACATTCTGAATGAAAATGCAAAGAAAGCAACTTGTGAGCACCAAATGTTTTGAATTCTTTTTAAAAACTCTTTACAATAAAGCAGAAAGGAAGAATGAATAATTACGTAAACCACACAACCTCATGAAAATAACCAACACTATACTTGCATTTAAAATTGTAAACAAAATCAATACGAATGATCTAAAAGTCACCTTGCTTGGCTGATGCAGCATTTTGATTCGTCTAGCCTCTTGAACCTCTTTCATCAATTCTTCTAAGTCCTAAATAGCATACAAAAATTGCTCATGTCCAAGATAAATTATATACTAGTCACCAGACATAATGCACTAAAACTACTCACATGTTTCAACATAAAATAGCAAATAGAACATGAAATGAAAGATGCAATTATGTCCATAAATGTCATTCTTATGTCAAGAAAAGTGATAACAATCAATGAAGCATTGATGTATTTAATGCCAACAAGGTTCTAAATATCTCCAAACCACCACCAACCCCCCCGCCCCCCAAAAAAAAAATTCAGTAAAAAGCACACATAGCCACTTGATTAGAGGGGAGGGTGGAAAACTAAAGGTAAGAAGGAAATTACGCCAATTTCTGTAATAGACAACATTGACCAAATCCATGAGTTCCAAGGCTTGTTACTTTATTAAATTAGTGTTGTATACGAATAAGGGCATTTAATGCTTCTTTCCAGGAATGAAAACTCCCATAAACTTCTCTTATTCTCTTCTCATCAATCTTCACTCTCTTTCACACGTAGCACAAACCTGCTTTCCTGAAGCTCGCGACATTTGTTCTTGTTCCTGAAGGGCTTTTTCCACCCTCTGTACTGCCGCTCTGGCATTTTCAATTTCAGCACGAGCAAAAGCTCTCTCCTCATCAACAAGCTTTTTAGCATCTTCTGAAGCCTGCAAAGGGATAAAGAGACTCAAAATGGAAAATCATTTAAGTAATTAGACAAACAAATGAGAAATGTTTAAAGACCAATTGTTGTGTGGTATATAGCTAAATGATTGATGAGTAATTTATAGCAACAATAAAAGTGAAACATATCGAACTCTTGACCTCCCTTACAGACATGAGTGTTGGTGGAGGTATGCAACAATGCACCGGTCCATTTATAGAATTGGAGTAGAAAACCGGATAAGCAGTCCCCACAACCTCAATATATGGACCACAAAATTACTTGCGACTCAAAAAGAGATTTTGGAAGTCCTAGAAACTTCTAGTCACCTATTTGATAAAAATGTAAATTCATGTGTAGGAATTCATGAATTCTTTAGATATCATGTGCTAATAGAGGTCTAGCTTTAACCTGATGACTCATACCGAAAACCAATTTGACTGTAGAGTTTAAAAAGTTCGAAAATAGCAAACATATAAGACCCATCCTTCTTTAAAAATGGACTCATCAATGCACCTTGGTCCATGTGATACAAGATGCATCACCATGGCACAGGACCCCACATTTTTTGAATTTCTAAAGTTGCCAAATCTGGAAAAATACAGAAAGCAGCAACTAGACCTCTTCTTCCTTTGTTTGTATCAGACTGCATCAGATATGTACAATGTACTCCCAAGTCTCAAACATTAACACAGGAGAATTTACCACACAAGTTGGATCAATATTTACCAAATTCCTACATCTTTTTAATGACTAAGACATGTAAGGACAAATATTAACTTCCAAAAGAATTGTCCTATAAAATCCACAAGCTGGACAACTGATTTGAGTGACTTATCATTTAACTTATATCAACCATTACCTTCTTAAGAAAATTTGCTAGCTTCTTCACCTCTGCTTTTTCTTGTATTAACTCCCCTTCTCTTTGAGTCAACTGAACTGCTAAGGCCTCAACCTGAGAGAAGCAATCATAACTTCTTAGTCGGTATTTGCTTTTTTTAAAGACAGCAGAAATAATAACTATATGAAAGAAAAGCAAAACAGTGGGGCAAATGAATCATTATTGAGAGGAATAAACATACTCAGAAATGGAAAATAAAAGTCTATCATGAGAAAACATGGTTGGAAAAGTTGAATTCCATAAGACAACAAGCCCGAAGGTATTAAAGTCCAAAAAATAAATTGATAACCCTTTAATAAAATAGATTAATATCGTTCCATATGGAATCATTTGATTCGACCGGTAATAATGTAATTTGATTATAAATAAGTTAAATTCTAGGGATTTGAATGCATTGGCAGCATCTTGGATAGAGAGGCGAAACTAAAAGGTGGGAGGGAAATTATACCAATTTCTGCAATACACAACGTTGATAGCATCCATTAGTTCCAAGCATATTAGACTATTAGTTTATTATATTAGTGGGGTATACGAATAATGGCATCAAATGCTTCTTTCTAGGGATGTAAACTCCCATAAATCTTCTCTCGTATCTTCGCTCGCTTTTTAGTTTTTCCCCACACCCTCTCCCCCTCACTCATAATGTGGATAAGCCTTCACATTTAGTTACATATTTGTCTTCTTTTTCTTGTTATTATAAAAATTATAATGACGTCTTATTACATTTTATATCAGGAATTCAAAAATAAAAAAGGAACATGTTCCTGTACACATACTGCAGGAGTTAATATAGAGGTTTTAAACTTGTCCAGACCCAAGCCCAACCCCCACCAGTTATTTCCAACCCTTCCCCCTTCCCCCTCCCCCCTCCACCCCCCCCTTCAAAAAAAAAAAAAAAAAAAAAAAAAAACCTGACAATAGTTGGGTCTAAATGCTTAACCAAATATTACTTGCATCAGGTATGCCCACTGTTTCAATCTATCACTTGCATCAGGTAGTTCCGGATAATTTCATTCAAACAGGAACATTCAGAAATCCCAAAAATAACATGTAACACAACTGTGATATGAAATGTTTGAAAAGTTGAAAGATCCATGGTAAAAGTTGGCCTTTGCTTTGCTTTTCCAACAAAATTTTGAGATTCGCTAAGTTCACATGAAATCGATTGGTGTTCCTTTAAGACAAAGTCGGAAAAGATGAAACAAGGTCACTTGGTAGTGCATGTCATGAAGGTCAAGATGGGGAAAACTTGAAATGGCTTACACGTTTTTAATTTAAGGAGATTCTTTTACCCTTGAAATTGCAATGTCGTAGATTTTTAACATGGTTTTTGTACAAACAGACACTATCCTATACTTTTGCAACCAAGAAGTCCAGCCAAAAAGTCAATACAACATTTGGTACCCAGGTTCATAAGTTTTACATTATAACAGCAATAATTGCCCAACGAACAGTGTGACAAGTGGAACAAGTTTTCTGAAAGGAACAATTCAGAGTAATTAAAAAAAGAAAAGGAAGAAAAATGAACTAACCATTGAAATAGCATCCACTACATCATCCTTGTTTACCAGCCACACGTCCTTTTAGTGATTCTAGTGCATCCCGAAGCTTCTTCAAAAGGACATGTTTTTCCAAAGAAGCTGCCTCCCTGAGTCTAGCCTGTATTCAATAACTGAATTTGTTTAGAATTTCACAATCATCCACTTTATTTGGATGTTAATGCTTAAATTTTTCAAAACAGGAACAAAAGAAGCACTGCCTACAATCATTTCCTAACACTAATTTTTCCAAATTATTTTAACTGAAAAAAAAATTAGAATGAGATTAACTACAGTCTACAGTGAAATAAACATACTAAGCATTCAAAATCAGATTTCCATCATAAACGAAAAAATAATACACTATTAACAATTCAGTCAGAAACGATAATAACTTTCTACCAAAGAACCAATAATTTTGAAAGCATTTAACCTCTTCAGACAACTTAGCAGCAGCAGCCAACCCTTTCTCAAATTTACTGGCAAGGTCTCGGACGGAAAGGCGATTCTGCTGTTCCAACAATTGTGCTGTCTCACGGGCTACAACTTCCTTCATCGACAGTACCTTTCGGTCATCCTTTCCCTCTACAATCTGATTGTTAGCTCCAATTCTGTAATTAGGAAACCGACTTGAAGCAAAAACCACATCAGCAGACACCGCCGGAACAGCATCCTTTTGCATTGTGTCCCCAAAATCTCGGCCTACCCTCGTCATTTCTCCAGACCAATTACTGTGTCAACCACCAAAAGCTACACATTAACATTTACACACTGAAATTGTAAAAACAATGTCTTTGCCTACCTAAAACCAAGTGTGGATCAGAACCCATCTACCTACACCACCTAATTCAAGTAATCAGTTTCTAAATAATGCATTCAGTTGCTCAGAAAATGTAGAAGAAAAACAAAACCCTTAGCTGATCACAACCCAGAACCAAAAAGTAAAATATATAAGAAATATCTATCTATTTATTTGAAACCAGAAGCATCCAAAACAAGATAAAGGGATGAGCAAAGACAGAAAACAAAACATTCCTGATTTACCCAATTGAGCAACGTGCCTGGAGAAAGACAATCCAGCTGAAACCCTAGCGAACCCTTTAATTACTGGTTGTGGGTTTTGGTTTGTTAAAAAGAATGAAGATAAAGAGGGAAACTTGGACTTACAGAGGATGAAGCTTTAATGGGATAAATAATGGGAAGGAGCCACTTTGAGAGATTCTTGGATCAGAATTCAGAATCAGATGCAGGTTTGGCTCCTGCTCTGGTTATCCAAATTGAAAATCTACAAAAACAGAGAGAGAGAGAGTGAATAGAAAGGATGGGGCCTACTTTTGTTGCTTTTTTGAAAAGCAAACGAAGAAAAGAGACGGCCGTCCCCTGTTTGCTTTCTTTTTATTTTATTTTTTCCCACTAAAATAATGGGAAATATATACGGCTTTTTTGAACCGGCTTCCCGTCTTTTTTCAAAATACAATAGTGTTCTCATCTGTTTTTACATCCATCACCTACCAATGCACTTCTATTTTTAATAAAAGATGACAACAGATCATAAATCATGGTTATCTATTTTTTTCAGACCTGAATATGTTATCGGGAATTTCATCTTGGTCGTTATCATAGCCAAGCAGACTTATCAACTTAGAGCATCAAACTCGGGATCTTCCACATTTTTTGTTTATTAGGGAGCCGCAGTTTGCGCTCTTATCACTATGCCACTTATTGTGCTTCCTACCCAAGGTCTAAAATATCGATGATATCAGAAATATCGGTAGTCTAAAAACACGAAAATTTCGATGGAAATATCGGGATATTATCGATATCGATAAAAATTGAATAAAAACCACGGAAATTGTAAGAAAAACTTGGAAATTTTTATTGAAACTTTGCAGGATGTTTATTTAGTCAATTATCTATTAGTTTTATCATAAAAAATTTGAAGGAAATGCATTGCATGATGAATTTAACTGATTTAAGTTGATTATATAGCAAGTTGGCAAACATTGTGAGTGTAGAAAATATGTAGTAATTAATTAAAGAAGTTTAAACACACCATAATCATTTATATATAATGAATTAGTACAATATTTTACACTTTATACATTGCATGGTAAGATACATGAGTGACTTAGTACCACATAGAGTTCCTATAAGGTTCAAAATTTTCACTATCTTCATCATCTCTATGTGTAAAGTAAGTATATTGTGAAGAGTAGTCATCAAATGATAAATCCCCAAAATAGTTTTGCATGCAATTGTTAACATGCCATCCATATGGATTCGAGATTAGTTGACGTTGTCCATAAGCAAAATCATTTGAAGATTGAGTCTTGGATTCTTTCCATAAGTCGCTCGATTTCATCCCAACAGGAATGGGATATGAAGGGTAGGGAAATGGTTGGTTATGAGTATAATCATAGTTACTACTTCTCACTCCAACAGAGTCCGAAGTTATAGATAACGAGTCATCTTCTTGACTTGACAAAGTCCCCTTGCCTCTTTCTCTATGAGTATAGTCCTTCCCTATGGCACCAATTCTTGGTCCTGCCCGCCTACTGCCATGGTCCTCATCCTGTGTTGCATGCGTGAAGTTTGCCTCACCAGTGAAGGGGCTCATAAATTCAGGAGGTGGTCCAACATAGTTTACATATCCATCACTACCTTCAGCTCCCACTATATCTTTCATCATTCCCACCTCCGGTGGTAAGTTAGTCTCTTAATCTTGTACTAGAGCTATCATTAGTATCAGCAAGATCTTGTGGTTGGGTAGGATTGGAAGAAGGTGGAATTCCAGTGTTTCTTGGTCTTGGGCGCAAAAGTTCTCCGAAAGAATCAACGCTGCTAGATCCCACATCCTCCTCTAATACTCTTTCTACATTTATCCCTTCATTATGTGCTTATTCAGCAACTATTAGAGTTAGGTTGCCTTCATCATCATCTAATGAAGATGTCTAATCCATTGATAAAGTTGGTTACCCTCTGTGTCATCATCTTCAACAACAATATCAAACACATCTAGTGGATCACCACGGTCGACATGATCTATTTCTACTTCCTTATTTTGAATTTGAAGCTTCATGTTGTAGTAGCAATAAACTAATTTTTTCAACCTACTATGAGCCAACCAATTTCTTTGCTTTGTTGTGTACAGTGAGTGCACTCCAATGTTCTCCAATTTCTTCACAAGCAGATGAGAGGAAGCTGTGTTTGTGATAATACTTTTGATTGTGTAACTTTCTCATAGTTGGTGGTGCATCAATCCCATACATGATACCATGATCCACCATTCAGCTATATAATGAAAAACAATGTTGATAAGTCTAATAACTCCAACAACAAATTCTATTATAAAACTGATAGTGAACTAGGTTTACACTCACTAGGAGAGACATTTTGTTCGACATTTTGCCGAGCAGCAACTGATGTTGGTCTCCAAAAGTTCTTCTTATATCTTTAAACCATGTTAGCTGAATTCAATAAATCGTGTTAGTTTAATCCAACAATGTAATTATTATAATTTAAGTAATTGTATACCTCATTACAAATTGGCCAACTGCTGGTGATGCATGTATAAATTTAGAGGTATACATTATGTATAGGTACGTATAGGGTAATGTTCCAACACCAGGTCTGTATTGGTATCAATTCAAATAATATGCTATTCAAAGAAACACATACTCTAATAAGAAAAATAATACTTATGCAACTAAAGAAATGAATTGCAAATTATGACATAATTTATACCTGATGCATGCAAATCGTGGTATAATGTTTTATACCATCGGTTATCAATTATCTTTATGACCCACCTTGCACCATGTTTTCTTTCCAAGTCCTCCTTCACTACACGCATCAACTCTTATATTGCCCCCATAGTAGGATACACTTCTGTGTCAACAATTCGTAAAACTTTGTAAAGAGGTTCAAACAGTTGGCACACATGTTCTGATTGAGTCCAAAAAGCATGATCAAGCACTATACTTTCCACCATACGACTTGCATTTAAGCGGCTGAAATTGTGGTTGGCCCAATTGTCACTAGTGAATAGTTGCTTCAACCCTGCTTTCTTCTTAAGTATACTGTCTAATGCAATATAGTTGGTGGCGAATCGAGTGGTAGCTGGACGAATAATTTCTCCTTTGCAAAATTCACGCATCTTTGCCAACAACCAACCGTGTTGATTGTAAATATAATTTGATCATTCTAGCTCTTTTTACGACATTAGCAATATTCTCTCTCTCTTGCCCATTGCCTCAAACATGAGATCAATCACATGTGTTGCATATGATGTCCAAAACACATTATGATGCTTCATTAACTTTTTTTCCAGCTTTGACAAATGCAAAACCGTTGTCGGTCACGACTTGGACAACATTATGCTCTCCCACCTCCATGATTACATCCCTCAATAATTTGTAAATATACTTGTAGTTATTTATATGGTCTAAAGCATCAACGGACTTCAAAAAAATTGTCTTTCCTATAGAGTATACCATGAAGTTTATGATAGACAATCTGGTCGGGCCAGTCTATCCGTCGCACATGATTGTGCGACCATTAATTTCCCACTTTGACCTCAACTGTTAACATACTCGCCAATGTCTTTATACTCCATTTCCAAATATTTGTTTCTTACCTCATAAGGAGTGGGAGGTTGTACTCCAACACCGGCTTGTTGACATCCCAATACCATATTTTTGAAATGATGTGATGATGCCTTCTCAGCAGGGACATTTTCATAGATAAAGAACTTGCTAATTAGACGCCTCATTCCCTCCTTCACATTACCTCCAGTGAAATAACTCCAAACACTCTTTTGACATGCTTTGGATGACTTATATAAACTTGGGGCTATTGGTGGTGTTGGTGTGATTCTCTAACACTTGCTCCTCGTCTCATTTGTGCACCACTACTTGTCTCGAAACCTTGTGCTCTATTAGGAATTTTATGAACGTGTTCTCTTTCCCATGCTGACTGTTTGGAGGCACGTAATGCTTGTTTGAAATTGCGTCGTTCTTCAGGTCCTATGTTATCATCACATTCGTCCTCATCGTCATCATCATCACTGTTAACCGTTTGGCCAATGACTTCTTCTCGTAGCCCAACTCGAATATTTTCCATTCCATGTGTTTTCTTTTCCTTATGGTGTTTTTTATTTTTTAATAATGTGGTGATGAATGATGCCTTCACTTCTAGGAGGGACATTATCGCATCGTTAGACATTATTTCCTGGATCTAATCAACTAAGATGATACTTAAGTCGTGTCACTCCGCCACTCTTCATTACCCGACCACAATATTTGCAAATTGTGCCATGTTTGTTTCCATCTATTGGGTCTCCATGTTCCCAAGTTGAATCACGTTTAGTAACTCCACTATACATCTTAAATGTACCTATATTTATTTTTCTTGGAAATTAGGCAATTATTTTTTGGCCAAAAAATATAGTAGTGATGACGGTTATATAAGAGAACCTAAATAATAAAGTTAGAAGAATTAAATACGAAGTAAAAAAAATGATTGTAAGAATTTAAGTAATTATAAAAATAATATGGAGAAATAAAACCTAATATTAATGAATAATAATCCAATTTGATAATAATCCAATTTAATAATAATCCAATTTAATGAATAATCCAATTTGATAATAATCAAATTTAATGAATAATAATCTAATTTGATAAGAAAAAAACCTAATATTAATGAATAATAATCCAATTTGATAATAAAACCTAATATTAATAAAATAATAAAATAATAAATAACATTAAACATATTAAAATTATCCTAGGGAATAATTATACAACATTACTTAATTACTTCAAAAAATTAACATGCAAGTATTATTTGGTTCTTAGATCACATGTATGGGTCCACACAAATTTTTTGTTGTTGTATAAATTACAATAATATAAATATAAGTTTGTAAACTTACCTTAAATATGGAACCCTTTGTGTTGAAGCTCTGAAAGGGCTTTGGAAAGGCTCTGAAAGGGCTAAGGGAAGAAGAAGAAACGAAAAGGTGTAATAGAGGTGTGATGATCTGATACTTCGAATGTGAAAGAGTTGGAAGTGGCACACGGTTTTGAGTATGAAACCAACCACCACTACTTTTTGTCTTGTCAAAAGTTGTCAAAAGTTGGCCCGTTTGGGGATTTATATTATATATTATGTAACTTATCATAACACACAGACACACACCATCACACACACACTGACACACACACACACCAACACACACACACACACTGAAGTATTATGTTTATTTTATCGATATTATCCCGATATTATCGATATTATCCCAATATATTGACGAAAATAAGG